CATAGGCAGGATGTTCATTCATGTGTTGATGTTGATCACTTGCTGCATAGGCAGGATGTTCATCTATGTGTTGATGTTGATCACATGCTGCATAGGCAGGATTTTCATTCATGTGTTGATGTTGATCACTTGCTGCATAGGCAGGATGTTCATTTATGTGTTGATGTTCATCAAATGCTGCATAGGCAAGATGTTCATCTATGTGTTGATGTTGATCACATGCTGCATAGGCAGAATGTTCATCTATGTGTTGATGTTGATCACATGCTGCATAGGCAGGATGTTCATCTTTGTGTTGATGTTCATCAAATGCTGCATAGGCTGGATGTTCATCTATGTGTTGAACCAATTACTTCATTTCACTTGTTACGTAGATATTCCCAGTTTTTTTATTAAAATTAAAAAAACACCAGTGGAATCTTCTTGATAATTAACTCTCGTTAACTATACTTGTAGGATAATAAGTTAAAATATAATACCTATAACAATTAGTTTACTCATTAAGTATGGAAATTATGTTTTGAGTTCAATGTGAATCTAGTACATTTCAATAAATAATATGCATATTCATAATGTTCCTTTCAGGCTGGGAATAGTATTGTGGGAGATTGCAACTGGAAGAACGCCATTTGAAGGTAGTTACTAATCATAGTTGAATGGCAAGGAATTTGCATGAATAACTCTTTTTTTATGTACACATCATTACCAAGTTTATTGGTATTAATATTTCAAATAGATTTAAACACCAACTGTATACATTTTCAACAAGTTCCGCTGAACAGTGAATAACTTTACTCTCTTAAGGTAAATCAGACTCTCAAGTCTGTAAGACTGTAATGGCTGGTGATATGGAGGATTTGCCTGCAGACTGCCCTCTAGAGTTCAAGAATGTCATTGATGGTCTTCGAGAAAAGAATGTAGACAAACGATTAACAATTGATGGTGAGTTGCATATCGATTAAAATTATTATTAAAGATATGCATTTCAAAGTGTTTTCTACTAGATAATAATAAGTTGATTAGAAAGCAATTATGATATGTATATTTCATGACCATTAAAAAATGTTTTCTTTCAGATGCTTGTCAGAGGCTGTCTGCAATAACAAATATTGTGAATTAAAAGCGAGAAGAGTAATAATCACAAAAATCACTCATCTGAAGAAAAGTTAAATATATTTTGTTTATTCAAACCATTCACCAGACAGAAACCACTATTTACCAAACAACATATTGTACATTTAACGGTAGATTCTACTAATAAATTTAAATACCAAGAATTTATCTCTTTTGCAATAAAATAAGAATATTGATGAAAAAAATGTATTCTTTCATTCTGTGCCTAAACCTTGGAGCTTTCTAACATAGTTAGACAGTACTTTTAACCCTTCACCACCAGTTTCCTCTTTTCATCACAAAATAGAAGATTGGCACTAAAAATAGCCAAATTTCTTTAGTGAAAAATGTTGTCTGTTGGCTCCCAAATTAGGGCTCATTTCCAGAAATGCAGAATAATTTGGGCAAGGAAGTCTGGTGGTTTGTTTTATAGATGTGT